TCCTTTTTGAAGTCTCCAAAGAGCTCTAATTCTTCCTTACTTTATCGAAAATTAGAAAAAAAAAGTTATTGGCTTGACATACACTTTAAAACTGATTACGTTAAAATATTATCCGTGTCACTTATCTGTGAACTCCACAACTCAATGCCTAACAGTAAATACAGGTAAAACAAATTTAGATAACATGATTTGATGTTGCTTTTCATATTTTGCATAATAACACAAAGTACTTTAGTGGTTTGTGTACATTACAGTACAAAGTTTAGTGACCAGATTCTCTTTGTGGGCTTTTGCCTTGTCGTGGAACTGCTTTGCAACCTTTAACATCCTCATGTTTCACAGTAGGTGGTACATTATTCCACTATGAGTTATAAAAAGCTGCGATCACTCATAGGTCACAATGTACATAAAGATGAAGGAAGAGGTAACTACTACAGAACAATAAATACATGAATTCAAGACGTAGAAAATAATCTGATAGAAATATCCTTTCTTGTGTAAAGCTGAACTCTAGGTGAAAAAAAATAAAGATTTATATTTGCAGTAGGTCCCCCCCTCCCCACTGTAAGGGTTAACTGCTTGCATGCATAAGAGATGATGGATAAAGTGATATGCTTTTAAAGAGGAACTTCAGTTTGATTAAATTTTTTTTTTTTAAAGCGGTGGTAAACTCTATTTTTACCTACAGGTAAGCTTATAAACGGTGCACTTTTAGGATATATTCTAGTGAGCAGCAGCCAGAGATGTCACTAGAGCATGTGCTCTGAAGGAATGGCATTACCCGTGCAATTCCTTCAGAGCTCTGAGCCGTGGCCGTGACTCCCCGCGTGTGGAAGTGATGTCTATGCAGCTCAGCCATTCAAGCGGCCAAAGCCCTGAACCTGGAAGGAAGACTGGGAGAAAATGGAAGTCTCTGCAGTGGTGACAGTGCGCTGCTGGGGGGCTTTGTTTCACGGTAAGCCTTTCATAATGTGCTAGTATGCAATGTACACTAGCACAATATGCTTTTACCTTGCAGGGAGTTTTTCTTTTTTTTTTTAACGTTTACTACCGCTTTACAGTCAGCAGCTACAAACACTATAGCTACTGACTTTTAAAAGTCAAGTACTTACCAGTGCCTGGGGTCCCGCACTGTCTTAGAAACGGGAGCTGGCTGTGGCTTACAGAGAAACCACAGCCAGCCCCCCCCCCCACTGCACATTCATGAGCTTGTGTAATCACTTTGTGAGAGGTCCCGCAGCCTCCTGGGACATGTGACATATTCCAGGAGGTTGCGAGAAGGAAGGAGGCAGCGCAAGCAATTGTAGATGTGGGAGTGAGTACCAATAAAAAATTGGTGCTTGCTAACTCCCAAAAAAGGCTACAGGCTTGGGGGGGAGGGAGTGAACCAGTGAGACTTCACTTTCTGAGTGAAGTTCCGCTTTAACATGTTAGGCTACATGTACACTAAGCTCCCTTGGACGCAAGCTCTCCTGGCCACTGAAAAACTCTAAACACGGCAAGAATGCATGTAAACACGGTACCACGTTTAGCACTTGGGAATTGATTTATTTAATTGGCCAGAGTACTTACCACTGAAGTTAATAAACGGCCAAGCACTAAACCCAACTAGCGATTAGGCGCGTTTACACATGTTTTTGGCGCGTTTTGTGTTTTTTGGTCAAAATGTTCCTCTCCTGAACACAATTCTTCTGCGTTCAGGAGATGGATGGTTAACTGCTTCTAAACGCTGCTGCTGTTCAATTCTGGTAAGCACTTATGTGTACATGGACACATAGGTGTTTATTGAGTTGAGTTTAGGGCCGTTGGCAAAAAAATGCCAAAAGCTCCTAAACTCACGTGTAGTGTACATGAGGCCTAAAGTAATTTTCAATATTTTCAAATCTTCTGACGAAGACTACAATTGGCTGTTTGAACACACATTAACTAGGCATGATCCACTGTTGTCACCCTTTGGGCACCTGTCCTGAGAAGTGTCATGCAGCCATTGCTAGAGTATATGTATGTAAACAGGAAATGACTGAAAACAGGCTGCAGGAGACCACGTTCATGTGCATAAAAAAAGGGTAAAGCAAGCATTTAACTACAAAAAAATGCCAAATGTTTATAATATACAGTGCTTAGTAAAGTAAATGTCAATGAATTAGATCTATATCTACTTTAATAAGACATGCTTCTTGAACTACATTTAAAACTGAAAATGATAAACAGCAAAGCAAAATCAGGGTCATTCTCTGGCTTTTGTGGTACTAAGGGTGAGGGCAAGCATTGTAATGCTGACAGTGCATGTTGAAAGTGTTCATAATCAGACAGTAAAGTTTGAGATCCACACACATTACGCAGTATGCCCTTTGCTTTATGTTTATCTACACAGAATCTTCCTCCAATCATCTTTCCACAGAGAATGATCACATTTGTGTCATTGGATCCTTAGCAAATCATTGAGGCAATGCTGGCAAGCATATTTAATATGATTGTATTATTTAAACTACCTATATATATTATAAAATTCTCTGTTATTACAAAACTACGTATGTTCATTATAACTTTGTTAGCTAAGGGTGATGAAATTTTGCTGTTTTCATTTTTGTATATAATTGGGATTATACTGCCCCTACTGGTAACTGAGTATCCATGCAGCTAGGATACCAGCACAAGACATGCAAAGTACTGTATGTACAGTATATTAAACCAAGCATGTCAAACTCCTAAAACACAGAAAGTCAAACTAGGCTCTAATCTGTAAGGGGCCACAACCATTCTGTTGAGGGATGCATACAGAGGAGGAACAAACCAATTAAAACTTATATTCAACGTTAACTCATTTTCTTTATCTAGATTACTTCAACTTTTAACCACAATGAAAGTGTTTAAAATTATGTCTGCAAAACAAGCCATTAAAAACCTGTACAAAAAACTGGAGCTTGAATCAATTTTAACGTTTTAACTGTCCAAACAATACAACATAAGACGGACACGATGCTAGTTAGACATGCTTGTATTAAACCATTTCTTTAAATAGATAAGAGACAACTGATCAGTGCAGACCCAGATACAACCTAAATTACCAATTTGACAACCCAGGGCTAATTTACTCCAGCCCACCTGCTGAAACAATGGTGTTTCTTGTGCAGTGGTGATGAAGGGCTGAGCTTTGTGCTGTTACAATGCAAGGCACTGCTTACCTTCTTTTTTAACTTTATTGAGGTGTCACAAAATAACACTTCATTCAAGTTTTATGCTTTGCAGTGATGTGGTGTGGAGAGCTGCTCTACAAAAAAAGAGCACCATTTTTATACAACACACCATGACCCACCTCAATGCAGAATTGTGGTGTAAACAGGACACATAAAAAGTAATTGTTTTCTATGTGCTCCTGAACTGAGATAGTGTGAATAAACCCATAAATAAAGAAAGATTTTTTAAAAAGTAATCTTTCACTTTAATCTCATTCATTTGAAGAAACAATTAGTTACAAGCATGGCACCTGGGATTGCAGCACGATTGGACAAAGACTGAATCTGAAAGAAAAGCTGAGCTTTGCTCATAATGGGCAAATCAACAGTTTTTCTTTAGTGATCTCCTCTCCAGCGATACATATCATATACAACTTTTCTTTGTACAAACTCCAGAAACCCTGTGTAAGCTCTGACGGTCCTTAGGCAGAGCTTACACAGGGCTGAGGAAACCCCACCCTTCATGTGAGCTCAGGAATAATTACCAAGCACAAGCACTGTCACATGGAAGGAAAAGGAGTTAGTCATATGCTCGTTCATAAAAAAAAAGCACCAGACATTTTCTTCACCCCCATTGGCTTAATGGAATGACGGGATTGCAAAGAAAAGGTGAATATGCATTGCCATGTTAGGGGGCATTGTTATGTACAGTGCTCAGTGAGTACACCCCAATAGATTTATCAGAAACCTTTACGTTTCTTTCAGAATCAACATTTTCTATGGGACACTATACTACAAAATACTCCCACAAATGCAGGCCATTGATTGCAAACAAAGTTTGTTAATTTGCTCACACAAAAAAAGTATTTTTCTTAACAAATTCATTCAAGACCATGTTGCAAAAAAATGAATACACCCCAAGAAAGTCTTAGGAGCAAAGCTAAATTTTAGACAACAAAATTCTAATTAACATGAATTCAATTACAGGTGAGTCTAATTATTCATTAAAAAGGTAGTGTCCAACAGACAGCTGATTATAAAAGAGCGTTACTTAACAAAGAAACCCCCTTCTCATTTCATGCTGTCAGCAATAGCACCACATGGAAGGGAGATGTCACAAGGCCTGAGAAAGAGAATAATTTCTTTACAAAAGAAAGGTGAAGGCCACAAAAAGGTCACCAAAGTCACAGAGACATCCAGGCTGTCCATGGAAGTTAACACCTCGACAGGAGCATCTTCTGATGAGAAGGGTTGAAGAAAATCACCATGCAAATTCACTGTATTTAGCTAAAGAAGAAGAAAGCAAAACTGGGGTGACTGTTTCTGGTGACACAATACAGCTTACACTGCAGAGGAATGGCACGCATGGCTGTCTTTCATGAAGGAAGCCTCTCCTAAAGTCCATGGACATAAAAGCCTGCCTAGAAATTGCCAGGGCCCATGCTGAAAAAGAAGACTACTGGGACTCTGTACTCTGGTGTGATGAGACCAAGATAACTGTTTTTGGAACTGATTACTTCAAAACTGTATGGCTTCGCAAAGGTGAAGAGTACAAAGAAAAAGGCATGGTGCCTACAGTGAAACATGGTGGTGGCAGTGCCCCTTCTGTGGGGCTGCATGACTGCTGCTGGTGTCAGGGAGCTGTGTTTCATTGATGGTATCATAAATTCACAGATGTACTGCTCTATATTGAAAGAGAAGATGCTACTATCACTCTGTGCCCTTAGTTGTGGTGCACTTTTCCAACAGACAATAATCCAAAAAAAAAACACACATCTAAGGCCACTGTTGCATTTCTGAAGAACAGTGATTCAGTGGCCAAGTATGTCTCGTGATCGAACACCTATGGGGAATACTGAAGAGACACGTTCAGCATCACTCTCCATCCAGCATCCAGGCTCTAAAAAAGTCATCGTTCTTGAAAAATGGAAAAATATAGATGTTGCAATATGTCGCCAACTTGTTCATTCCATGCCTAGAAGAATTGGAGCTGTCCTTACAAATCATGGAGGTCATACAAAATACTAGATGTAGTAGTTTTTGTTGTGGGGTGTATTCATTTTTTGCAGTGTGCATTGCCCTTCCATGTGCACCTTACAGCTAAGGCTGGTTATAGTTTGGAACGGTTGCCATTTTTGCGCAGTTGGCTTTGGATGCAGGGACACACTGGATGCCTTTGCTGTAATTTTCGTATAGCTGGGCATTACATGTCTCCCTGTACCTTTAAGGAGGGATGAGCTACTCCAGGCACACCTGCATATAACCTACCTATTGATATATGTGCTCCTATTATGGAGGCTCTTGAAATTTTAGAGTTAGGTCCACAGTATACATAGGTCCCTTGATGTGGGACTGTGGCTTACACATGTATTTGCAAATGTGTGCAAACAAACCCCTCTGTTTTTAACGCAAACTGTTATACAGGGCCAAATTGGTTGTTTTGCAGGCTGGATGCTAAGTGTTGCTGGGAAATCCTTTGTTTGTTTGCGATGTGTATTCATTTTTGCATCAATTCATTTGAGTAAAACTAAAGATTTTGTCATCTAAGTTATATTGTCGAACTTACTTTCATGTAAACCTATGTTCATAAAACTTTTGTCAAAATTTTGGAAATTGTTTCAAGTTGTGTTCATAGAGATATTGATTAAAATCTTACTTTTCAAGAGGAGTTTACTCATTTTTGCTGAGCACTGTAGCTAAGGTATTGCTATGTTGTTTCATCCTTCATGGGTCAATCACAGGTTTGTTTTAACATAATATATCATAATGTCTCAAACACAAGTTTACTCTCAAATGGATTATGCAGAAACCCATTATGTCTACTTCCCTTCCCAGTATCGCAATAATACATCCCCTTCCCCACAAACACTCCCTTTCCTTGGCACATTTTCCTTCTGTCCTCTGATCCTCTCCCTCTTTATTGTCATTCTGTGGTGACACACACGCACAGTTACAGCATGTCAGAGGGAAATGTGTACTTACCTTCACTGTGCTGATATTCTGAGCAAGCTCTGATGGAGAACAGGGACTGTTTGTGCAGATCTGTGTCTGGTAAACACAGGTGAAGCATCAGGTGTCTTATAAATCTCTGATGTCTCTAAAAGAAACTGTCACCACAATAGAAAAAGGGAATTCTAATTGTATAGTACAGGACTCAGACAAAGTATTCACAGACCCTGTGTTACAGGCCCATACCTTCAAGTGACTGGACACTATAAAATCTTTCAAAAACAAGCCCCCTGGGAGCTTCCCCTATAACCCTACCCCACTCATTGAGTCCTCAGTTTTGAAGCAAGCAATGCAGAGTAACCAAGGAATGGAAGAGAGGGTGTCCTGTGTCCTGTACACCAATATAGGTGATTTACAGGTAAGTCAAAATTCCACTTATTTTATCGTACCGTACAGGACACAAACTATTCATAGACGCTGTGATGTCCCCAAGCAATAAATGAGAAGGATGGTCAACAACTAGACAGACTGAACTCTTCCAACAGGTCCAACAACAACAAGGGTCAAAAGACCCAACTTCAGACTGCTGCTGCAAGAACCTTCCAGTAAAAAGCTTCATCTGTAGAACTTTGTAGCCCAGCTTTGTAAGGTTGCCATCTGGTCCTCTGTTCATGCTTTTTAAGAGGCCTAATGCTAGAAAGCCCAGGAAACTACCACTGGTCTGGTGGAACTGGCGCATAAAAGCACAGGATAAGATTTGTCCTTGAGAGTGTAAGCCCTAGCAATCAGATTTCTGAACCATTGAGCAACAGTAGACTTGGGAGCAGGGTGTCCCTTATGAGGACCTGAAAACAGGACAAACAGGGAATCTGTCTGTCTAATCAAAGCTGTTGCTTTGAAGTAGACTTTAACGGCTCTCTCTACAACAAGACAATAAAGAGAGATTTCTGTGGAATGCTTTAAAGGATAAGTTCACCTTTGGAACATGTAACATGTTCCCATAGCCGTGGCCACGCCCCCTCCCCCCCCCCCCTCTGAAAGATAGTAGGAAGAAGTTTACCCGTACTATCTGTCAGATTTGAAAATCCACCCACATGGCAGCGGCACTCAGTGTTCTGTGAATGAGTGCCTACAAGTCCCGACAGACTTAGCAGCTGTGGGCTTGTAGTTTTCAATGAACTACCACGGCGCTGTGGAGTGCTATGGTAGTTCATTGAAGCTTCTACTGATCGCTGTTGCAATGCTTTACAGGCTCCTTTAGACAAAAATAATAAATGCACATTTTTTGCCTGCAAAAAAATACACATTTATTAGTTTTGTCCAAAAGGTGAACTTATCCTTTAAAGCAGAGCATAAGGATGGAAGGACTATGTCTTCATTGAAGTGAACGATGGATACCACCTTAGAAAGAAAGGATGGTCTTGGCTGTAAGACAAGCTTGTCATTGTGAAGAATGAGGAACAGCTCCTTATAAGAGTGAGACGTCAACTCAGAAACGTGATAGCAACCAAAAAAGGCTACTTTGCAGAAGTGGTTATTAAAGGGAATGTCCCTGATGGATCAAAGGGTAGTTTCTGCACTGCACAGGAAATCAAGTTGAATTCCCAACAAAACACAGAGTGCTGCAAGGGGAGACTTGATACCTTGAATAAAGGTTTTTACAAGGGAGAGGGAAGCCAGAGGTCTCTGAAAAAGAATGGACAAGGTCAAAACATTCAGAGTGCTTAAGGCCAAATTTTAGTCAAGACCTGATTGTAGAAAGGCACAGAGTAACCTCTGGGATTGAATAGCCTGTGCTCACACCAGGCAAAGAAGGATTTTCAGGTACGATTGTAGATCCTCTGGTTTTTATTGCTTTCAGCAAGGTAAGAATAACAGACTCAGAGACCCCTCTATATCTCTTAAAATGTGGGCTTCAACAGCCATGCCGTTAAAGAGGCTGAGAAGAAGGATGGAATAGAGGATCCTGAGACAGCAGGTCCTGTCTGTTGGGAAAAGGTCAGGGGTCGTACAATTAAGTCTAATTACACTGGACAACAACTTTTTCACGTTTTTCTTCCCCCAGAAACTTTTGGTTACTATGCTAGACTCCTTCAAACTGAACAGAGAAATGACTTCGGGATAACTGTATCTTGAACATAAGAATCTGGAGAAATATGGAATTAACTTGTAGCCTCCCTGGCGGTATTCCCAAATGTAGCTCGGGGTAACGTTTCAGTACCACAAGCGGTAACCCCGAGCTACACTTGGGAATACCATGCGGCGCTGCTCTGCGATCCCTTGATCACTTACCTTGTCCTGCGCTCCCGCGATGTCCCTCTTGCAGTGTCCCCGGCAATGTAATCCGGCGAATGCCGGCATCTGTCTTCTGGGTTCCATCCCCTGCGAGCGCCGGGACGTACGGGGGACAGAACCGGTGGGAAATTTGAAAATGACAAAAAATGACATTCACTAAAATCACATAGTAAAACATTACTGTATCAAAGCATTTCACATACATTTTGTCCCTAGTGCTTTATCCTGTGCCCTGCCTACATTTTTACTGTTCTTATTGTATGGAAACTGAGAAACGTCCATGGCGTCCAAAAAGCTTCCCTTTAGGTCAAAAGCGGTTTTAGACCAGCTAGAGAATAGTGATAGTAAATCAGAACGACTTGCAGAATTGAGTGATAATGATTCGTGGGAAATTCGTCATCAGACGCTGAAAACAATTTTGCGACTTTGCTCAGTGATGTGCGAACTTCGTGCTATATTTCAAATTACATTATCTATTATGTTGTAAGAGGTTTGTCATCCTGCTGAATGTAAATTGGAGCTCTGTAGTTGCAAAGAAAATTCTCATTGGAATCCTTGAATGATTTCCAGGCTCTGGTTCGACCAACTGATCTTCAAATCGATTGTTACTGATGATGTATCTCGGGGGTCGGCAACCCGTTGATCACGCTCCTACTGTCGACCGCAAGTGCTACTTCCCCCATCCTTCCCACACCGAATGGCAGAGCAGCACAGAGAAGCAAAGAGCTCACGGTTCTTGCTGTCTGAGCTCTCAAGCCATGACACATTCAAAGCCAGCCCAGTTCAAATCAGAAGCATTTCCACCCAGCAGCACACCCCTTTCATGTGCAGCTGTGGGGAAGGGAATGCCTCTGCCACCTAGGATTTGCTGTTGGCTAATCCAGGCTCTTTCAAGTGGATGACATCATTTGACCAAAGAGTAGGACCGGTAGGGATCCCCAGAAAAGGTAGATGTGCCACAGCAGCCATCCTGACTTTCCTGTACTGTACCCTCAAGACCCCCCTAAGCTGTGACCTCCAGATGCCCCCATGCACTGTGCCCTGCAGACACCCCCATGCTGTGCCCTCCAGAACCCCCTGTGCAGGGCCCTCCAGATCCCTTCATTCACTGTGCCCTCCAGACCCCCCTATGCTGTGCCCTCCAGACCCCACTGCACTGAGCCCTCCAGAATCCCCAGTGCTATGCCCTCCAGACCCTCGTGCTGTGCCATCCAGACCCCCCTGTACAATGTCCCCCAGATCCCCCTGTATAATGCACTCTAGACCCCACTGCCCACTGTACTATGTCCGCCAGACCCCGCCCCCCCCCGCCGCACTATGCCCTCTAGACCCTCCTCTACTGTGCCCTCCAAACCCCCCTGCACTTTGCCCTCCAGACATCCCTGTACCATGCCCTAAACCCCCCCGTGCTATTCAGATTCCCTGTACCATGCCCCCTAGAACCCCCTGTACCATGCTTCCAGATCCCCTGTGCCATGCTCGCCAGACCCCCCTATGCTGTTCCCTCCAGACCCCTCCTGTGTTGTGCTCTCCAGACCCCCCCTGCACTGTGCCCTCCATATCTCACTGCACTATGCCGTCCAGATCCCCCTGTGCTGTGCCCTCCAGACCCCACTGTACTGTGCCCTCCAGATCCCCCTGTGCTGTATCCTCCAGACCCCCCTGTACAATGTCCTTCAGACACCCCTATATAATCCCCTCGAGACCCCCCTGTTCCATGCCCTCCAGTCCACCCTGTGCTGTATCCTCTCCAGACTCCCTTCTACTGTGCTCTCCAGACTCCCCTGTACTGTGTCCTCCAGACCACTCTGTACTGTGCCCTCTAGGTCCTCCTGCACTGTGCCCTCTAGACTCCTTGTACCATGCCCTCCAGACCTCCCTGTTCCATGCGCTCCAGACCTCCCTGTTCTATGCCCTATAGATCCCCATGTTCCATGCCCCCCAGATCCCCCTGTACCAGGCCCATCTGACCCCTCTGTACTCTACCTTCCTGACTCCCCTGCACTGTGCCCTGAAGACCCCCTGTACCATGCCCTCCAGACCCCCTGTACAAGGCCCTCCCAACCTCTCTGTACTGTGCCTTCCTGACCCCCTCCCCTCATACACTGCCTTGTTGACCCCTTGTCCTTTGTCCTGTTCTCTGCCTTGCTATTCTCTCTCTTGCTCGCCCCTGTCATCAGCCCTACTAATCTCTGTACACTGCCCTACATCCTACTGACCTCTATACAATGCCCAACATACTACTTAACTCTGTACACTGCAATAGATCTTACTGCCATCTGTGCACTGCCCTAGATCTTACTGACGTCTGTACACTGCCC